ACACAGATTGCCCAACCACAGGAATTTGGCTAGCACTGACCAGTTCCAATATGCTGACATTAAAGATCCATATTGGGACCTGCAAGGACACTGCCTGCACATCCACATCTCCTCCTCCTGATTTCTTTGTTCTGCTTTCCCTCTCCCTCTCCATAAAATGACTGCCTGCACTGAGATGTTAAGATGGGCTTTGGGACCAACGTCCGCATCTTCTCAAGTTGCCGGCACCTGAATAAATCACTTTCCTGTTTACAAGCACCTGTCTCATGAGTTTGGTTTTCATGGTGGCAGGTAGACAAACCTTGGTTTTGGTTACAGAAAGACCCCATGAGGTGTGATTTAAGGAGCACCAAAATAACAGCCTGCTCATCCCAAATATTCCCTATGCCAATCACATTTCTTTGAGTCCTTAAACTTAGCAATGTTAGCCTTCCCTTTTCCTCCATAACTTACTTTTGATGTTTGTGCCAGTTCAACTGAGATAACACTCCCACCTTGAAACATAGCCAAGTGTGTTATTAAATTTAAGACCATAGCTGTTGGGCAAAGTCCTTGTTTCAAATAGTCATAATGAACCAGATACCTCTGTTCAAAATTGTTTACTCTATTTCTTAGTAGGTTGAACCACTGGCAGTAACTATTTCCCAGCTGGTCATATTTTGGCTATATTTTCTGAGAACAGGCTTCAGTGATGCCTTAAAACCTTGCTACTCAAAGTATGCTTCCCAGGCTGCCAGGATCAACATCATCTGGAAGCTTATGAGAAATGCAAACTATCAGGCCCCACCCCACACCTGCTGAACCAGAACCTACATGTTAATAGGATCCCCAGCAGATTCATATGTGCAATAAAATATTAAAAAACACTGCCTTAAAGCACTTATTCTTACTCTACCTAGGGATGAGTTGGAAATGCCTACAAATAAGTCAAGGATCCACACTTACTAGCTACTTGTTTCTCTTCCTTGTTTTTCTCCAATAAGCTCTGGGCAATAGTTAAATTTTGACCAGATAACCTGTTCAAATACAGGCTCATTCATTCAAAAATTTTTATTGAATGTTACTGTGGATGAGGCATTGTTCTAAGTGCTGAAGATAACAGTAGGGAACAAAACATACAGAATGAAAACAAAAAAGCAAAACTGCCCCCAGGACCCTGGCCCAGTAGCTTAGTTGGTTAGAGCACTGTCTAGATACGCCAAGGTTGTGGGTTTGATCCTCAATCAGGGAACATACAAGGATCAACCAATGGCCCTGGCCAGTGTTTCTAAGTGGTTAGAACATCGGCCCACACACTGAAGGGTCACAGATTTGATGCCCCATCAAGGGCATGTACCTGGATTGCAGGATCAATCCCTGGCCCTGGTCAGGGTGTGTGTGAGAGGCAACCAATGGATGGGTCTCTCTCACATTGTTTCTCTCTCTCCTCCTCTTCCTCCTCCTTCTCCTTCTTCTTTACCTCCTCCTCTTTCCTCCCTCCCACTCTTTCTCTAAAAATCAATTTTTAAAAAATTTAAAAATAAAGTTGTTTGGGAAAATTTCACTAAAAAGCTGACATTTGAGGAAATACTTGAAAGAATTGGGAGCTTGCCACATAAAGAGATGAGAGAAGGGTATTACAGGCAGAGGATATGGTATGGAACATACTAAAAAATTATCTGCTGTTTAACTGAAATTCAAATTTAACTGGGTAGCCTGTATTTTATCTGGAAGCCCCGTTAGGAGGCTATGGTAATAATCCAGGTGAGGGACAATGGTGGTGGCTAAAGCCAAGGTGGTAGCAGTGGAGATGGTTATGTTTTGAATGTGGAGAGACCAGGAGTTCCTGGTTCCTAATGGGTTGGCTATGAGGTATGATAAATAAGTCAAGAATGACTGCAAGATTTTTTGGCCTAAGCAATAAAAAGGCTGGAGTTGCCATTTACTGCTGGAAGCCAATTTCAGCATGACAGCAGGGCTGAATCTGGGAATGGCTGATGGCATTTCCCCAAACCTGAATAGGATACATTAAATTGATTGTTTGCTGCAAGACAGCTCAGGGCATCTTAATCTACATGTTTTTGCCTCCTACTGGCCAAACACCTGAACAGCTGTAGGCTAATTCTCCCGTTCTAACAATGCCTCTGTATACTAAACCCTGACTCTTTGAAGTGTGTATCTCTGCCTCGCCTCAGGACAATTTGTGTTAATAAAAAGCATGGGGTCCTGAGATGAGGAGATCTTCGTTTCCTTTAAACTAGGCTCCTCTGACCCCCAAATGCCTTTCAAGATTATATTTCGTCTCTGGACTCCTATTTAATCTATGCACAGCCTTCTCCAGATTCCAGAACCCTTCTAGATGCCAGATCAAGACCCACCAGCATTAAATGTTGCCCAATGTCCGGCAATTTACAAAAATGGGGAAGGCAGTAGATGGAATGGTTTGGTTTGGGAGGCAGGAGAAAGAAAGATCAAAAGTTAAGTTTTAGACATAATTTTGATATCTCTTAGTTATCCAGGAGGAGATGTCAAGTAGAGAACTGGGTATATGGAATTGAAATTACAGGAAAATGTCTAGTCTGAAATTACAAATGTGTATGTTTCAAAAATGCAAACTTTTCCCATTTAAATGGGTGAGAATCCCTCCTCCCCCACCATATGCCCATCCTATCTAATAAAAGAGAAACATGGTGATTAGCCGTACATCCGCTACCCTTCCCATTGGCTAATCAGGGCGATATGCAAATTAACTGCCAGCCAAGATGGCGGTTAACCGCCAACAAAGATGGCGGCTAATTTGCATATGTAGGCACAATGCTGGGAGGCGAAAGGGAAAGGACGGAAGAAGCCCCCTGCCACTGACGGTGATCAGAAACCCAGGGGGGAGCTAAGAGCCGGGGGCAGCTGTGATCAGAGAACCAGGCGCCTTTGACGCCCCGGCCAGTGATAGCAGGAAGCAGGGGTGGAGCCAGCAATGGGAGCTGGGCAGGGATGGAGCCGGCAGTCCGGGGAGCTAGGGATCCCTTGCCCAGGCCTAAAGCCTTGGCCAAAGACGTTAGGCCTGGGCAGGGGTGGAGCCTGCAATCGTGGGGAGCTAGGGGTCCCCTACACAGACCTAATGCCTTGGCCAGAGGCGTTAGGCCTGGGCAGGGGCGGAACCAGCCATCACAGGGAGCAGGGGCGGAATCAGCGATCCTGGGCAGCTGGGGGTCCCCTGCCCAGGCCTAAGGCCTCGGTCAGAGGCATTAGGTCTAGGCATGGGCGGAGCCTGTAACCACGGGGAGCTGGGAGTCCCCTGCCCAGGCCTAAGGCCTCGGCCAGAGGCGTTAGGCATGGGCAGGGGCAGAGTCAGCAATCGTGAGCAGCTGGGGGTCCCCTGCCCAGGCCTAACACCTTGGCCAGAGGCATTAGGTCTAGGCAGGGGCAGAGCAGGAGATCGCGGGGAGCTGGGGGTCTCTTGCCCAGGACTAATGCCTCCACCAGAGGCCTTAGGTCTTGGCAGGGCGGTGCCAGAGATTGTGGGTAGCAGGGCGGAGCCGGGAATGGTGGGAGCTGGGGGTTCCGCTGCCCAGGCCTGACACCTTCTGCCGGAGGCCTCAGGCCTGGGCAAGGGGCCGATCCAGTGATTGGCGATCGGAGGGTGATGAGGGTCAACTCCTCTGGCCGAGGCATCAGGCCTGGGTGGGGGGCGGAGCCGGTGATTGGGGGGATATGAGGGTCCCCTTGCCCAGGCCTGAAGCCTGGGCCAGAGGCGTCAGGCTTGGGCGGGGGGTGGAGCAAGCGATCAGAGGGAGATGGGGGTCCCCTGCCCAGGCATGATTCCTGGGCCAGAGGCATCAGGCCTGGGCGATGGGCGGAGCCAGTGATCGGGGTTGAGGGGGGTCCCCTGCCCAGGCCTGAATCCTGGGCCAGAGGCATCAGGCCTGGGCCAGGGGCGGAGCCAGCAATTGGAGGGGTCTGGGGGTCCCCTGCCCAGGCCTGACGCCTGGGCCAGAGGCATCCGGCCTGGGCGGGGGGCAGAACCAGTGATCGGGGGGAAATGAGGGTCCCCTGCCCAGGCCTGACACCTCTGGCAGTGGCATCAGGCCTGGGCAAGGGGCCGATCCTGCGATTGGAGGGTGATGGGGGTCAACACCTGAGGGCTCCCAGTATGTGAGAGAGGGCAGGCTGGGCTGAGGGACACCCCCCCCCCCCACCCAGTGCACGAATTTCGTTCACCGGGCCCCTAGTAGGACATAACTTGTTATCCTCACAATACAGGTAATCCACACTTTATAGCTAAAGGAAATGAAGTTTCTTGGTTTATAAATGAAGTGGTGACTTTGTACTGTGTCACATTTGGTAAACTAGAACTATATTTCACAGAATTTCCTACCCTATATGGGTTTGGTTAGGATTAGTTACAAGACACATTTTCTATGAGTTTTAGAGGGCAGAAGTGAAGTTGCAGCCATATATATTTTTTCTTACTTTCAGAAAGTCAGGGCAGAACCTGGGGCACTGTGGTAGCTTGCTCATGTTGCTGCTGATCTCCTGGATTACCTTGTTGTGGGGCAGCACACGGACCAAAGGCTCATCTGGCTACTACCAGACCTCCTTTTTCAAATTTTCTTAAGGCGAGGTCCAAGTGCAAATGTAGTTTTAATGATGCAGGGCACCACCTTCTCCTAGGACAATGGTCACAAAGTCTCAAGCTATACTTGTTAAATGTTCAAATGTATTTTTCAGATGCCACTGTAATCTGATAAGCTTGACCAGAACACAAAGGATAAATTTAGCCAACTGCCAAGAAGAAATCAACATGTAATTAACCATATACTGTATATAAACAATTGCTAAGCATCTCTTCAGGGAGACAGAACTTTGACTGTGAATCCCATCTCCTTTATACAAGTAAATAAAACTCCCCAATGACAGCCACATCTTGTTCTTGAATAGAATACCCCAAGCAGTGAACCCCTTGTATTCGGTAACACTGTGGTCACCCACATGATTGAGATTGGAGATGTGAGAGACAGACACTAGTTCTGTTTCTCTTCCTTGATTCCAGTTGTCGTGGGTTTCAATTCCTCCTCACAGGTTCCAGTTTGTCCTTGTTCTCGTGAACAATCAGTTTTCCTTCCTGACTGCAGTCTCAACACAAGATATAGAGGTAATAACATGCATAAATTGCTCCATCAGCTCCACAATCATGTGAGACCTGATCTTATAAAAAATTCCTTATTCTGTACCACTTAGAGAAATTCTGTGTCTCTGAATGAATTCTAATTGATACAGAAAGAGAAAACACAGATAATGTAGTGAGAAGTAAAATGGCATAAGGTGACTCAGTGATTAAAACCCAAAACAGAAGGGCCAAGATGGAGGAGTAACTAAATGCAGTATTTGCCTCCTCCCACAACCACATAAAAATTACAACTAAACCACAGAGCAACCACCATTTAGAACCACCTGAAATTTTGCTGAATGGAAGCCCTACAAGTGGAGAATTAAAGAAGCCACATTGAGACTGGTAGGAAGGGTGGAGTAATGAATGGCTGGTCCCATAAACACTCGTGGCATTTTTTTTAATTGGGAGGGATATCTTAGCTGGGAAGACTCCCCCCCCCCACACACACACACACACCATGAGGAGCAAGGGATCCCAGCCTCGCACCAGACTCCTTAGTCTAGGGTTCCAGTGCTGGAACCCTGGGTATAAAAACCAGCAGGGATTGTGGCTGAGTAAGATGGAGGCTGCTGGAGTCCCAGGCAGTTTCTCTTAATAGGCCCACAGACAGACTTAGACTCACTCTGAGCTCCAGTGCTGGGGCAGCAGTTTGAAAGGATGAGGAACATGCAGGGAGGAACTAAATTATCTGGCACTGGGGCAAGAACTGAGAGGCGGCTTTCTCAGTCTTACCATATCTGAGTCTCCATCAACTTGTCCACAATGCTATTCCCCTGTGATTCCCTGAGACCCACCCCACCCAATTTGCAGCCCCACCAAAGCTGTTTGCAGTGGCTTTTCCATATGAATAGCCTGTGCTGGCTCAGGCTTCAGACTTTCCTAAAATCTCTTAAACAAGCAGCAGCTGGCCTCAGCATGCCCCATACCCCTTGCTAAGTGGCCCCAGGCCCAGCATTAGCAGAAGCTTGTCAAGGGTCACAGCTTGGCCTCTCCTGGGCACCTCCAAGCCCAATAAAAGTAGCATCCATCTGAAGATTATTCTGTATTCATGCCAGGTAGCCCCAGGCAAGACACAGGCAATGGCTGACTTTTTGTACCTCCCAGGAGGCCACATAGCCTGTATACCCAGTGGACAGCTTCAGACCATGCCAGATTAAAACCTTACCACATCCATGAGTGGCACACTCATGGGGCAGACATGGTGAACACCAAAGTCTCACTGAGGCAAGTCCTGCTCTATTGGGGTGTCGCCTGCACAGCAGCTCTTCCACTGTAGTTGCAGGTGTTTGTCACAGCCAATTGGCCTGGGGGTCAATTCCTCCCAGCAATCAAGGCTCAACTACAACAGAACTGTGCTCACAGACCACACAGGGGTACACTTGGAGTGCCTAACTCAGGTGACTGGGAAGGCTGTGGCACTGGACCCTACAGGGCAACTAGTACAAAAGGCTACTCTACCAATTCCAGAAGACTTAACAGCTCTACCTAATACATAAAAGGGTGTCCCAAAATTCATGCAAGATTTGAATTTTACGCCATTTGTGCCGTAAAGTGTTTCCAACAACAACAAAAAAGATAGCGTGACAGCTGACAGTTCAAGGTTATTAAAAATGGAGAGCTACATGAAAGAACAATGCGTTTTCATTGTTGAGCAATATTTTAAAAATAATGAAGGTTTGGCAGCTACAGTTTGCAATTTTCGTGCAAAATATGGTCAGAATAGTGATTTAACTTCATCAACTTTGAAGAGATTAATTAAAAAATTTAGGGAGACTGGATCAATCAGTGATCTTAAACACTCTGGCCGTCCTTCAACAAGTCGTTCAACACAAAACATCGAAGCAGTTCGTGAGAGTGTTGCTGAGAGTCCAGGGACATCAATTCGGCACCGTGGTCAAGAATTGGACTTTTCAAGAAGCTCTCTACAGCGTATTCTCACGAAATATTTGCATCTTCATGCTTACAAAGTTCAATTGACTCAAGAACTGAAGCCTATTAACCACGCACAGTGAATAGAGTTCGTTGAATGGATTATGGATGCTGATTATGGATGGATTATGAATGGATTATGGATGCTGATTTTTCGAACAAAATCATCTTCAGCAATGAGGCTCATTTTCATCTTGATGGCTTGGTTAATCAACAAAATTGTTGCATTTGGGGTTCAGAAAATCCATGAGTGATTGTTGAGAAACAAATGTATCCACAACGTGTCACTGTTTGGTGCGGATTTTGGGCTGGAGGCATCATCAGACCATTGTTCTTCGAAAATGTGGCTGCTCAGGCAATAACAGTTAATGGTGCTCGCTATCGCGACATGATAATCCATTTACCCAATATGCTATGTCATACAAACCCTATACTGTATACTTTATGAATCAATAAAAAATTTACAATTTTTTATTATAAACCTGTGTTTTCTATCAAAATTACTTCTTGCGTGAATTTTGGGACACCCTTTAGAAGCAAACATAGAGAAGCAGCAAACATGCGGGAGACAAAGAAACAGGTCCCAAATGAAAGAACAGGAGAAATCTCTAGAAAAACTAAATGAAATGGAAGCAAGCAAACTACCAGATAGAGATTTTAAAACAATGGTTATAAGAATGCTCAAGGAACTTAATGAGAACTTCAATGAGATAAATAAAAGACCAGTTAGAAATGAAAGATACACTAACTGAAATGAAGAATTATTTACAGGGAATCAATAGTAGAGTGGAGGATGCTGAGAATCAAATCAGTAATTTGGAATATGAGGAAGCAAAAAATACCCAATCAGAAGAACAAAAAGAAAAAATAATCTAAATTATGAAGATAGTGTAAGGAGCCACTGGAACAACTTCAAGTGTACCAACATTCACATCATGGGGGTGCTGGAAGGAGAAAAGAGGGAGCAAGAAATTGAAAACCTGCCCAAACCGGTTTGGCTCAGTGGATAGAGCGTCGGCCTGCAGACTGAAGGGTCCCAGGTTCGATTCCAGTCAAGGGCATGTACCTTAGTTGCGGGCGCATCCCCAGTAGGGGGTGTGCAGGAGGCAGCTGATAGATGTTTCTAACTCTCTATCCCTCTCCTTTCCTCTCTGTAAAAAATCAATAAAATATATTTTAAAAAAAGAAATTGAAAACCTATTTGAAAAAATGACAAAAAACTTTCACTACCTGGAGAATGAAATAGACATACAAGTCCAGGAAGTGCAGAGAGTCCCAAACAAGATGAACTCAAAGAGGCCCACACCAAGACACATCATAATTAAAATGCCAAGGTTAAAGACAAAGAGAGAATCTTAAAAGCAGCAAGAGAAAAGCAGTTAGTTACCTACAAGGGTGTGTCCATATGACTCTCAGCTGATTTCTCAACAGAAATTTTGCAGGCCAAAAGGGAGTGACAAGAAATATTCAAAGTGATGAAAAGCCCTGGCCAATTTGGCTCAGTGGATAGAGCATTGACCTGCAGACTGAAGGGTCCCGGGTTCGATTCTGGTCAAGGGCATATGCCTGGGTTGCAGCTTGATCCCCATAGGGGGCATGCAGGAGGCAGCCAATCAATGATTTTCTCTCATCACTGATGTTTCTCTCTCTCCCCCTCTCCCTTCCTCTCTGAAATCAATAAAAACAAACAAAAAACAACAACACAATAATGAAAAGCAAGGATCTACAACCAAGATTACTCTAACCAAGATTACTCTTTCCATTTTAAATGAAAAGCTATCATTTAGAATGGAAGGTCAGATAAGGAGCTTCACAGACAAGAAACAGCTAAAGGAGTTCATCATCACCAAACCAATATTACACAAAATGTTGAAGGGTCTTCTTTAAAGAGAGGGAAACAGAGAAGATAAAAAATATGAGCAATAAAATGGCAATAAATCTATACCTATCAATAATTGAATCTAAAAATAAAAATAAATGAACAAGGAATCTAATGAAAATAAACTGATGAATAAAATAGAACCAGAGGCATGAAAACATGGAACAGACTGATGAATCTCAGAGGAAAGGATGGGGAAGGGGGGCAGGAAGACATTAACCAAAGAACTTATATGCATATTTGAATTACCCATGGACATAGACAATAGGGTGATAAAGGCCTGGGGCAGGATGGGATCAGGTTGGAGGAGGGCAATGAGGGAAAAAAGGAGTGTGTCTAATACTCTCAACAATTTATACTAATAAAAGCCTAGGTGGCCCTAGCGCCCTTGCGCGATGCCCTCACATCATCACATGTTGAGGGATGTTTAATGAACCAAAGACGCAGAGGTAAGACGAACACACAGGATGATTGATGCCAGACAGAGGGCTACAGCTCGCTCAGGCATGTAGCAAACTCTGCACTCTCACCATCGCTTTTATTGGGGTTTGGTACAAGGTTAGTGCATCAGCAGTTAATCAACTAAATCTTGTTTTGTTCTATATCAGTGATGGCGAACCTATGACATGTGTGTCAGAGGTGACACACGAACTCATTTTTTTGGTTGATTTTTCTTTGTTAAATGGCATTTAAATATATAAAATGAATATCAAAAATATAAGTCTTTGTTTTACTATGGTTGCAAATATCAAAAAACTTCTCTATGTGACACGGCACCAGAGTTAAGTTAGGGTTTTTCAAAATGCTGACATGCCGAGCTCAAAAGGTTCGCCATCACTGTTCTATATTATTACAATAGCGGATTGAAGACAACTTGCAGCTGTGCCCTCCCTTTCTGCTCTACACCTACGACTATTTAATCTTAGCCTTTCTCAGGGAGGTAAATGTTCCTGGAACTCAAGATTGTGTGCAATCTTGCTGTGCTCCTGATAGAACATTCACTTCTTCTTGGCAGGACTTCAGATCCTTGTTTACAAATGTCCAGCTACAATCACAAGATGGCCCCCATGTTGTCACAAGATGGCTGCCCCATGTCATCACAAGATGGCCATCACAAGATGGCTGCCACAAGATGGCTGGCAGGGGAGGGCAATTGTGGGCAAACAGGCCAGCAGGGGAGAGCAGTTGGGGGTGACCAGGCCGGCAGGGGAAGGCAGTTGGCGGCCATCAGGCTGGCAGGGGAGGGCAGTTGGGGGCCATTGGGCCAGCAGGGGAGCAGTTAGGGGGTGATCAGGCTGGCAGGCAGAAGTGGTTAGGGGCAATCAGACAGGCAGGCAGGCGAGTGGTTAGGAGCCAGCAGTCCCGGATTGTGAGAGTGATGTCTGACTGCCGGTTTAGGCCCGAAACTGGCAGTCGGACATCCCCTAAGGGGTCCCAGATTGGAGAGGGTGCAGGCTAGGCTGAGGGATAGCCCCTCCCATGCACGAATTTTGTGCACTGGGCCTCTAGTAAAGATTATAAAAATAAAAATAAAAAATAAGAAAAACAAAAATAATATAACAATGATAATAATAATATTGTAATAACTATGTGTGTTGCCAGATAGATACTAGGCTTATTGGGGGATCATTTTGTAAAGTATATAAATGTCTCACCACTATGTACAACTGTTGGGTTCCATCCCATGTTTTCTGGCTTGGACCTGCACTATTATTGGCCAGGGCTGGATCAAGGGGTGCAACTATGACTTATAGTCATATCTGCTTTCCCAAGGGGATATGAGGGCCACCTATAGCCCTTCTCCTGTAACAGACCATGGCCAGGTCTACACTGCCTCTTCCCCCTCTGCCAAGGGGGAAGGCCTAGGCAGCAACATATTTCCAGAGTGTACTTTGAGTCGCAACAGTAGTTCATCTGTTGTTTTCACCTGCACATGCAGTGTCTGAGGATACCTCAGCATCATTCAATCTAAGGGGGAGGCACCCGTTTTCCTAGGCTATTCATTCAGCAATGTGACAGCCATGTCCAATCATCTGGCCCAACCTTTTAGGCTAGGTGGAGCTTCCTGTCCCCACATGGGGCAATGTCCTGTCATTCTTTGTTGTTTGTGCCATTGTGGCAACCACAAAGTTAAGCATTTAAATATATTTTATTGATTTCAGAGAGGAAGGGAGAGGGAGAGAGAGATAGAAACATCAATGATGAGAGAGAATCATTGATTGGCTGCCTCCTGCATGCCCTCTACTGGGGATCAACCCCGCAACCTAGGCATGTGCCCTTGGCTGGAATCGAACCTGGGACCCTTCGGTCCGCAGGCCAATGCTCTATCCACTGAGCAAACCAGCTAGGGCCAAAGTTTAAGCATTTAAAGACAGCCCAGTTGTCTGTTCTAATGGCCAAAGGACCACTTTGCCCAGCATCTGAATCGAACCACAGTTCATCAGTATCCAAACCGACAGTCACAGCATCCATATAACAGGGTTCCCCCTACTAGACCCATCCATATACCACATGGTCTCTGGGAGGGGTGGCATACCCTCTCGGAACAGACTAGGGAGTAGCTCCTTCATAGGAGCTTGATCCCTTGACAGGGTCTCATAGATCATAGGTCCCAACATGGTTTGTAACTCTTGTGACAGAGGTCTGGTACTCACCACTGCCTGCTATTCCAGATAGGTCCCCCACTTTGCTAAAGTTGGGGTTTGTGCCACTCCCGACTTAGGCGTGGTCACCCAGGACCTAACCAACTGGCTATAGGATAAGTTGTCTTTACAAGTACCTTACTTTGTGCCATAATAGCTTCACAGGCCTGCAAGGCCACATAACTGGCTGCCAACTGTTTCTCAATGAGAGACTATCAGCTCTCAGTTCCTTTCCATAATTGGGAACAAAACCCAATGGGTACCCTTCTCTGACCATGCTGTTGCCACAAACCCCAAAGGAGGAACAGTTACATCCAACTATGATGGTTGTTTTGGGTCTACAATTTGCAGGGTTTGGGCTTGGGCTACTGCCCTCTTGGCAGCTATATAGGCCTCCTCTACCTCTGGGATCCAGTCCCATGTTGCCCCCTTCAGGGACAACTGATATAATGGCTGTAATAACTGTGCCAGGTGGAGAATGAACACACGCCAATACCCCAAAAGACTAACAAAGGTCTGCAACTGTTTCACCATTGTAGATCAGGGATAAGCCTGTACCTTGTCAATGACTGCTTCAGGGATCACTTTGGTCTTACCCAACCAGACAGCTCCCAAAAATTTCACAGATAAGCCAGGTCTCTGGACCTTGCAGTCATTGACCGCCCATCCCCATGAATCCAAGGCCTGCTGTAGACTCCTAGCAGCTGTATTCAAATCTGCAAGAGAGTCAGAGGTTAGCATAATATCATCAATATAATAGAACATTGTCACTGTGGGAGGCTTTCCCCAGGTAGCTAAATCTTGTGCCACCAAATCATGACAAATAGTAGGGCTGTGCAAATATTCTTGAGGGAGGACAACAAAACTCCACTTTGACCTTCCCATGTCAGTCCCCTGCAATCCATGGTCATCTGCCAGGTGCCATCAGGCTTCTTCACCGGCCACACCGAAGAACTGTCTGTCCAATCTCCCCATGGCCCCCTGGGAGGCGACACTACTGCACCCGGACTACTTGGTGGGGGTTAGGCAATCTTAAGGCAGTGTGATGCAGGTGCCCCCTCGTGATGGGATTCACCACACGCAACTGCAGGTGAAATTCACCTTGGGCTGTTGCAATCGTTAAGCCCAGTGACAGGAGTCAGCAGCTTTTAAAGGACTTTTGGTGGGCTTTTTTTCTGGGTGGAGACTTCTTTATGCATACCCGGAGGGGAGATAATTGAATGTGGTCACCACAAGTGAAATGTGTTCTCAGCAAAGGGAATGTCCATAATGAAATCACCTGAAAAGCCAGTTCCTGGGGGAGTGGTAGCAATTCAATTATTTGATCAGACCTAACATCACCCTCTGTACCTGTCTATATGAACTGCCGGGCCCGTATGTCTGTCCAGGTTACCTTAGAGCAAACTGCAGTCTGCACTGGTGTGTACCAACGCCAACACATGTTGCACGTTGTGGGGGGACCATATATAATTAGTTCTACATGCAGCCTCCAGTCCTCTGGGGTCTCCCCTAACAGGTGCTTCAGCCTGTTCCTCAGTTTAGGAGATCAAACTCCTCCTTTCCAGGAGTCTAAAAAGTCCTGGAGGTGTACTGGTCTAGGGAACTGCCTTTCTTTGGCAGTTTCTGGAATTGCTGTCCTACCGGTAATTGCCTCCGCAGGGCCAGCAGCAGGTCACTGGGGTGCTGATCTATTTTCTCTTTCTTAACTCCCCGCTGCCAGCAGGTCTATCCACATTGCCTGTGAGAGACTTACACAGGCTCTGTCTCCGCCGCTTTCACGGATCCCAGGCCTGCTGTCTTAGTGCCTTACGTACCTTAGTCTTCTGCACAGTCACAGGTCTCGCCACCCCCTTCTCTTGCCTCTTGATTTCCACATCTCCTAAGCCGGCCATGACCGTAGTAACTTCATGTATAAGACGGTCTATGAAAGGGGTCAGAATGGCTGCCAGTGAGCTGAACACTGCCGGAGGGGCTCCAGCAAGAATCAAGTCTTTCATGGACATTGTAAAACGCTCATTATCAGGACCTAGAGATCAATTTATAAATGGCTTGTCTCATGCCCATTTCCCATATGACTTGCACTAAATCTACATACCTAATCTATTTACTCACAGTTTCTGGCAATTCTCTGGCATCTTGCCAAATGCTTTGAGACACCATCATTAATCATTCTATCAGGGAGTGACCTCCCTATCCAGCTCCCAAATGGTGACTAATCTGTAGTTGCTGCCACAAGGAGGAATGTGTCGTTATGGAGGCTAATTTCTCCATTTCGGGCAGAGACAGCTACAAACTATCTGCACTGTCATTCCATAACCTTAGGAGCCACGTGAGAATCGGCTCCCCTGGCCTCTGCCGGCCCTTTTTCCTAATTCTCTCAGTTCTGTGGGGGTATAAGTAGTATATGTAGTAAATTCAGGATGGCCCTTGAGCCCCATCTCCTGGGGCCACAGGCTGATTGTGCTCCAGACTCATTTTAAGGGTCGGTTGCGCCTGTAGGGCAGGGGCTCTCCCATCATCAGTAACAATGCCATCAAAGCCAACTTCTGAATCTAGTTTTTCCGGCCCCTCTTTTCCCAAGGTGGCTACCTCTGGCTCTAGCACATGTAGGCGTGCCTCCAGTGCCTCCTCCAGTCGCTGTAACTCACGTATCTTGGCTGCCTGAGCCAGCGTCTCACAGTGTTGCAGTTTCAAGGCTATTTGGAGCAACCAGCCTACCTTCCCAGCAGCCTTCCGCTGGTCTTTGGGAATCTGGTCCGTCAGGGACAACACCTCTAACACCACTGGCATTATCTCAACCTGCTCCCAGTCCTCCGGGGGTGTCCAAGACATCAGGACTGCCGCTACCAGATACCACAGCTGGGTCAGAAGCCCCATGTCCTCTGGCGGGGCAGACGGGTATTTACCCCAGAATCCTGCCGACTGACTATGCCAGTTGTTGGGTCCAAACCCCTCTGCTAGGAATGGGACCTCTTTAGATGCTGGGAACTGGAAGAAAATGAGAGCAGCCGCACTCACATGGGACATGCTTTATTGCAGACAAAGCAGCCAGCCACCGGCTCAATAGCGCATTTTATACTAACTCAGACAAAAGAGGCTTCCTGCCAAATAGTGACATCTGTGTTACATTAACCTAAATGGGTTATACAAGGGTGTGCCTGTGCAGTATGCATAGTGATACTGCTGAGTCATTGCCTTCGCACATGTGTATGGCAAATGGGCCTTTAACATCTGGCGTACTCTGTCTGGTCAGGGCCCCCACAACACCAAAAACAAATTTATATCGAATATCAACTGTAATTGAAAGAAATATAAATAAATAAATAAATAAATAAATAAGTAAATAAATAAATGATTTTTTTTAAAAGCTTGAAAACATGGACCCCAATCAACACCAAAAGATTTTCATTAGTAGAGAGGAATGTTCATGGTGTATTATCTGCTTATAAGCAAATCTATGATGAAAAGAAAAGCACACCAAGCAAACTACCACAGACATAGTTCTGAAAAGAGTGACACGTCCTCAAGAAGAGCCTCAGGCAAGTCCTTCAGGAGATATTACAGAAGATGGCAGTTCCATACACGTTATTGTCCCTGAAGACTTTATGGTGGGACAAGATGTGAAGGTGGAAGACATTAACATTGATGATCCTGACCCTGTGTAGGCCTATGCTAATGTGTGTTTGTGTCTTAATTTTTAACAACAACAAGAAGTAAAAAAATTTTAAAAGAAAAAAGCTTATAGAATAAGGATAAAAAGAAAGAAAATACTTTTGTATAAAGTATTTGTGTTTTAATCTGTGTTATTACGAGAGTCGAAAAGTTAAAAACAATTTTAAGTTTATAATGTAAATAAGATACAGTAAGCTAAGGTAAATTTATTTTTGAAGAAGGAAAAAATTTTTTAAAATAAATTAAGTGTAACTTAAGTACATAGTGTTTATAAAGTCTACCATTGCCGAAACCGGTTTGGCTCAGTGGATAGAGTGTCGGCCTGCCGACTGAAAGGTCCCAGGTTCGATTCCGGTCAAGGGCATGTACCTGGGTTGCAGGCACATCCACAGTAGGAGATGTGCAGGAGGCAGCTGATCGATGTTTCTCTCTCATCGATGTTTCTAGCTCTCTATCTCTCTCCCTTCCTCTCTGTGAAAAATCAATAAAATATATTTTAAAAAAAAAGTCTACCATGTATAGCAATGTCCTTGGCCTTCACATTCACTAACCATTCACTCACTGACTCACGGAGAGCAACCTCCACTCCTGCAATCTCCATTCATGGTAAGTGCCCTACACAGGTTACCATTTTATTCACAGGTTACCATTTTTTTTCCCACAGGTTACCATTTTTTATTTTCCATATACTATAATTGCCTAAAGTATTGAGTATAGTAGCATGCTGTGCAAACTGTAGCCTAGGAGCAATATAGGCTATACCACATAGCCTAAGTGTGTAGTAGGCTATACCATCCAGGTTTGTGTAAGTGCACTCTTTGATGTTTGAACAATGACAAAATCACCTAATGATGCATGTCTTGGAACACATCTCTGTCATTAAATGACACATGACTGTAATTCTGAACTTTAATTTTCCTGTCACATGTTATATGTCTCTGTGCCATCCTTTTATATGCAGCACAGGTTACATGTCTCTCCTGAACTTTTTTATTTTTTATTGAATTCAGAATGTTACCTATGCAATAATTTTAATTTCATAATGTACTACCTACCATTGTTTTTCTTTGTCGGGATAATTTTTGACTCTGGGTTTCAGATGTGAATTTCTTTTTATCTTCACATTCTTTTTCAGTCATCATTTTTAGAGTCCCTGGTTAGGAGAATATACCTGTAGGTAGCTCTTTTCTAAGTTTTAAAAAACCTGCTTTCATAATATTGACTACATGAATAAATGAATCCAATATTCCTTTCTTTGACATCTGGACTCAAAATAGTATGGTCATGGCCCTAACTGGTTTGGCTCAGTGGTTAGAGCGTCGGTCTGCAGACTGAAGGGTCCCAGGTTCGATTCCGGTCAAGGGCATGTACCTTGGTTGCGGGCACATCCCCAGTGGGGAGTGTGCAAGAGGCAGCTGAATTGATGTTTCTCTCTCATCAATGTTTCTAACTCTCTATTCCTCTCCCTTTCTCTCTGTAAAAAAATCAATAAAATATATATTTTAAAAAATAGTATGGTCATGATCTCTCAAGGCTTTCAGCTAATTTTATAACTCCAACAGTTTTTACTCTTTTGATAAAAAAAACCAGAATGGGTATTCCCTTCATATTGCTTTTGTTAATCCTCACCTGAGGATATTTTCCATTGAGCTTTTAGAAAGAGTGAAAGATGGGATGGGGGTAGAGACAAAGAGAGAGAAACATCGATGTGAAAGAGACACATTGATTGGTTGCCTCCTGGCCAGGTATTGAACCTGCAACCTAAGTATATGCCCTTGACTAAAGTCGAACCTGGGACCTGTCAGTCTGCGGGGCCGACACTCTATCCACTGAGCCAAACTGACATGGGGTCCTTTCATATTTTTTGAGACAGGAAGTTGTTATCAGTTTAATTAAAAAACACATTATTGTTTTAATTGCCAATGAGGTAGGACCATTTCATAATTTTTTAAGTTTATCTGTCCTCAAAGGTGGGAATAGAAGGATCATACCTCAACATAATAAAAGCCATATATGACAGGCCCACAGCCAACATCATACTCAATGGACAAAAACTAACACCATTTCCCCTAAGAACAGGAACAAGACAGGGATGCCCACTCTCACCACTCCTGTTCAACATAGTCCTGGAAGTATTAGCCATTGCAATTAGACAAGAAGAAGAAATAAAAGGCATCCAAATTGGAAAAGAGGAAGTAAAACTGTCCTTATTTGCAGGCGACATGATATTATACATACAAAACCCTAGAGACTCCATCAAAAAACTACTAGACTTAATACATGAATTTGGCAATGTAGCAGGATACAAAATTAACCCCAAGAAATCTGAGGCATTTCTATACACCAATAGTGAACTTTCAGAAAGAGAGATTATAAAAACAATCCCATTTACCATCGCACCAAAAAAATTAAGCTACCTAGGAATAAACTTAACTAAAGAGGTAAAAGACCTCTACTCAGAAAACTACAGGACGTTGAAAAAAGAGATAGAGGAAGACATAAAGAGATGAAAGAACATACCATGTTCTTGGATTGGTAGAATCAACATCATTAAAATGTCCATACTACCCAAAGCAATCTATAAATTCAACGCACTTCCCATTAAAATACCAATGGCCTTCTTCAAAGATCTAGAACGAACTCTCCAAAAATTCATCTGGAATAAAAAAAGACCCCGAATAGCTGCAACGATCCTGAGAAAGAACAAAGTAGGTGGGATCTCAATGCCAGATATCAAGCTGTATTACAAAGCCACTGTTCTCAAAACTGCCTGGTACTGGCACAAGAACAGACATATAGATCAGTGGAATAGAATAGAGAGTCCAGAAATTAGCCCGAACCAATATGCTCAATTAATTTTTGACAAAGGAGGCATGAACATACAATGGAGCCAAGATAGTCTCTTCAATAAATGGTGTTGGGAAAATTGGACAGATATATGCAAGAAAATGAAACTAGACCACCAACTTACACCATACACAAGAATAAACTCAAAATGGATAAAGGACTTAAATGTACGACAGGAAACCATAAAAATTCTAGAAGAATACAAAGGCAACAAAATCTCAGACATATGCCAAAGCAATTTCTTCACTGATACAGCTCCTAGGGCAGTTGAAACTAAAGAGAAAATGAACAAATGGGACTACATCAAAATAAAAAGCTTCTGCACAGCAAAAGAAACCATCAACAAAACAACAAGAAAACCCACTTCGTGGGAAAACATATTTGCCAACGTCATATCTGATAAGGGCTTAATCTCCAAAATTTATAGGGAACTCATACAACTTAACAAAAAGAAGATAAACAATCCAATCAAAAAATGGGCAAAGGATCTAAATAGACACCTTTCAAAAGAGGACATTCAGAAAGCCAAGAGACATATGAAAACATGCTCAAAGTCACTAATCATCCGAGAGATGCAAATCAAAACAACAATGAGGTACCATCTCACACCTGTCAGAATGGCCATCATCAACAAATCAACAAACGACAAGTGCTGGAGAGGATGTGGAGAAAAAGGAACACTTGTGCACTGCTGGTGGGAATGCAGACTGGTGCAGCCACTATGGAAGACAGTATGGAGTTTCCTCAAAAAATTGGAAATGGAACTCCCATTTGACCCTGTGATCCCACTTCTAGGAATATATCCCAAGAAACCAGAAACACCAATCAGAAAGGATATATGCACCCCTATGTTCATAGCAGCACAATTCACCATAGCTAAGATCTGGAAACAGCCTAAGTGCCCATCAGTAAATGAATGGATTAGAAAACAGTGGTACATCTACACGATGGAATACTATGCTGCTGTAAAAAAGAAGGAACTCTTACCATTTGCAACAGCATGGATGGAACTGGAGAGCATTATGTTAAGTGAAACAAGCCAATCAATGAAGGAAAAATACCACATGATCTCACTCATTCATGGATAATAAAGACCATTACAAACTTTTGAACAATAATAGATACAGAGGCAGAGCTGCCTCAAACTGATTGTCAAACTGCAGTGGGAAGGCCAGGGAGGGTTGGGGGACAGGAGGGAGGGGAGTAAGAGATCAACCGAAGGACTTGTATGCATCCATATAAGCATAACTAATGTACATAAGACACTGGGAGGTAAGGGAGGGCAGGGGTTTGTCAAGGGCGGGGGGGGGGGGGAGGAGCACTTATGTAAAACCCTTTGTAATACTTTTAGCGAAAAATTTAAAAAAATTTTAAAAAAAAGATTGTAAACTCCTGAATTGCTGAATTTATATACACTATTGCAGGACATACTTTGACTTAGTCCTGGTAACTGTATAGTAATTTGGTTTACTAACAAAAGTTGTGAATAAAACTGTGAAACTAGAAAA